AAAGAAGTGATTTTTTCTATGTTTTGCATGAAACTTGTATTTTATGTAGTTTTTGATATTCTCAATAAATGACCAGTTATGTTTTATAACTTTTGGCTGGATTTCTTTGGAGAACAAGATAAGGACATTGCATTCTTTAAATCTTTCTAACACTGGTGGTTATAGCTGCACTCTACCTAACAGGAAGTGGCATCTATCTAATCTAATTAGTCAGTGCTTTATGTTTTTTCCCTGCTTTAGGTGAATGTAGCAGTGGGATTTGTGATGAGGCTTCCTGCATTAATGGCGGTACCTGCATGGCAAGCAAAGCAGATCGATACATCTGCCTTTGCCCACTTGGATTTAAAGGTCGCCACTGCAAAGAAGGTGAGAAGATGTCTGTGTCGGCTAGGAATAGGGAGTTGTACTCCAAAGTTTCTGCAGGGCACCTGATTCAGGAAAACACCTATTTTAATTTGTACTCGTAGAACATCAGTTGCATATGAGTGCTCCTGTACCTTCCACAAACTATATCACATTGCTGAATTGGACACTGGTTCAAAGCTAGAGCTTGGATTGATGATTGTACCATCCTTGTAGTATGCTAATGATTTAGAATGATCCAAACATTATTTTTGCTTTTGGAGCTGCTTCTTTCTTGACAGTTTGATAGAATATGGACAGAAAGCTGATTTTCATGTAAGACTAAACTGTGGTGTTTGGTAACTTAGATGAAACAGACAAAACATTATGCTTGTGCATGCTCTTTTCTCTCTCCTTCTCCATAGCTAGGAGAAACAAATTGTTGGTGTTCACTTTCATTGTCTGAACAGTGTGATTTGAAACAAAGATCTTGGTTTAAAGCAAATGTTGTTAGAGAAGGCAACTTCAAATTACAGGTTCAATAGTGTGTTTAAAATTAGGTTCTTCATTTGTTCTAAATCATAGACCCACATTCTTTAAAAGTCAAACTATTTTCTTCCAGAATCTTCTCCTGGCCCTGAAGAAGCAGAAGGTGGGTGTTGGGAAGAATGGAAGGCCAAATTCTGCTCTAATTTATTTCAGATTTGTCAGAAAGCCCAAGATCATGGTTTAGCAATATGTGTGAAGTACTCTAGTAGTTTCTTTGTTCATTCTCAATTAATGTAAACTTCATTCCATCTGTGTTAGCTCCCAGTTCTTCCCATTGTGGTTAGATATTGACAAGAGCCATATCAATTATAGTGCTCACAAGGTAGGAAAGTCCTGTTTCATTCAGAACCCTTAACCAGATGTTTAAGCCAAGTACGACTGTGCACCCTGCCTTCATTATCTCTAGTATTATATGGTAAAGGCAGTGAATATCTTTACTGCCTTTACCATAAAAGCATCTTCTGAAACATTTGACTAGTTGATCATGGATTTCTGCAACTGATTTTTCCTGTTAAAATGCCACAGATATTTTAATATTTGACCACTGTGGCATAGATGTCTGCAGCAAACCAAGGTTATATCAAAATGCAGTGATACCATAATGGAAATCTTGTTGATACAGATCAACATCCCAAGCTCTGATGCACATACTTAATATTTCACTTCCCCTTACTGCAAGTGCCCATGTCCTGACAATTGATAAGTTGCTTTCTGTGAATAGGTCAAGCTACAGGTAGTCCTTGTTTAGCAACAATTGGGACCGGCAACTCAGTTATTAAGTGAAGGGATTGCCAAGTGAAACCGCAACTGCGCTTATGATCTTACTTCAGCTTTCCTTTGCTTTGCAGACCTGTGAAGTTTGTAAATGCAAGGATTGGTTGTAAAGTTACTTTTTCATCACTGTCATAACTGTGAGCAGTTGTTAAACAAGGTAGTCACTAAACAAGGACTACCTGTGTTTGTTAAACATTCATACTGTATTTTACATGATGTAGTTTCTAGCACTAATTTCTGCAATGAAGTGTTAATTTTGTACCATAGATAAAGAAATGGCAGAGTTATAGGTGGCCATTTTGAGGACTAATGTGCTTCTTGGCTTGGGTCTTTCAGCTTTCGCCCTCACCATACCTCAGTTCAATGAGACACTGAAATCCTTTGCTGTTGCCCCCTGGCCATTAGAACCACTGAGCTATCTTTCTTTCATGGAGTTTGAGATCACATTTCATCCAGATGCAGCAAACGGTGTCCTCTTGTATAGTTATGATACAGACAGCAAAGACTTTCTATCCATTTGCATTGTGGACAGCTATGTGGAGTTCAGATTTGACTGTGGTTCAGGAACTGCTATAATCAGGTAATTATAATTTTAAAAAACATATTTGTCCATGGTATTCCTTAATCCGATTCTCTCCCATAAGGAGCATCCAAAATACTATGTAATTAAAGTGAACAATTTGTAATTTGATGTAATCCAAAATCAAATGTTATTAAGGTTGATGTATGATGGTTCAGGTTTCCATAATTTGTTCCATAAGTGATAAAGGGTTTTGTGGCTCCCTTAATGGCCTATGGAGTGATCTGCCATCTAAATCATTTTCTGTGATTTAAAAAGTCTTTGATTAGATTCCTTTCTCTGCTTTTGAAACATCTGGAAATAAAGTGTGTTTGTTTATCATTTATAAACCTCTTCAGTCAGGCTACTCTAAGCAGTGTGCTGCAGCAACAACCCCAACCAATGCACGAACAACAGTAGCATACAATAACAGAAATATAGTATAGAATTATGGTAAAAAGTATATTATATTTGTGTCAATGGAAGCTCTGCAAGTCTCAAGGCCTTCTAAAACAGTCAGGTTTTTACAGGCTTCTGGAAAGCCAGAAAAGTGAGAGCTAGCTTTGACTTTTGGGGCATCTCTTGATAGCTGACATTCTCTGTGCCAGTGTTTCTCTCAACCTCAGCAGATTTGTGGACTTCAACTCCCAGAATTCCACGTGTCTTAAAGTTGCCAAGGTTGAGAAACACTGCTCTGTGCTCTCAAACTGAGTGGGCAAAAGTGATATGGGACAGGTGGTCTCAAAGAAACTCAGGCCCTGAGCCATTCAATTATGCTCGGTTTAAGCTGCCCCATTCAATCATAGCCAGTTGCAGGTAATGGGATGCGGGAAGAACACCTCCATGGACTTCACTGTGACTACATGCTTATCACATGGCACTTAATCCCATAGAATTAAACATGGCTAGTCAGAAAAGAAAAAAATGACACTGATTTCAGTAGGGTTCACACACAGGAAAATGGCATTGAATGGCAACCTAATTAATGAAAGCAGAAAGCGTCCAGCAATTAGGACTTGTGCTATAAACAGGATATAATGTGCATATTTTTTCTTATTAAACAGTCAGGGTCATTTGGTTTCTTTATTACATATTGATCCAATGTGATGATTACCCTACTATCTATTGATTTATCCAGGGTAATTAAACCCTAATTGTTATACAAATGAGGGAAAAGGCATGAGTAGATAATTTAAAAAAGAGGCAGCAAAGAAGTTGTTTAGTACATTGTTTTCCCAGCATTTTAAAGAGGTATTTATACCTGGAGAAATGTTAAGAGCTCATCAGTGATAAAAGGAAAGCATGACAGGTATTTAAAATTTAAATTTGTGTATTGTTAGAATTGACATGACATTTCTGCTTCTTCTATAAAAATTTACTAAATTTAACATGTCTAGTGGGAATTCAATTTACATCTATCTATTATATATTGGCTGTTTTTCTCTTCTCAGATTAGTGACAATTTATAAGGATTACCTTCATATTTTTCACATTCCTCCTGTGGGATGCCTCACACTTCAATTACGAATAACAGTCCTTTCTCAAGGCCTCTTTTCATAATTAGAATTGTGTGGTGATTGGATATCCTTAGAGAATGCCCCCTGTGCAAAACGTACTGATACTGAGTTAAATAAAACAAGTTATTTAAAATATGTCATAATCCACCTATTTTAAGAGATCCTTCATGGCAGAGCTATTTTACTCTTTCTACCTTCTTTGCCTTAGTCTTCAGCTGGTGCATAATTTAGTTAAGGATGGACAAATTTAGTTCACTTTCATCAAATTAGTATTTTTTTCAAGCACAGGTTTATTTCATTTTGGTTGCTCGGGTCCACATATGCAAACCTTCATTTGTGTAAATAAAAAATTATTCTCTTCTTTTTTGCATGCATTTTTTAATGTATGCATTTTTCGCAATCACTTTCCCCTAATATATATCTTTTGTAATTAATTCTTCCAACCTAAGTAGTAATCTTTGCAATTTCCCCTTGCATTTTTAATGCATTTTTAATTAGAGAAATGCACTGTAAGATTTAAAAAAGAAAAAAAAATGAATGTATAATTGCATTCTGATGTATTTTGTTTGATGTAGCTTGTTTGATGTAGTTTGTTTGATGTAGTTTGATGTTTGATGTAGTTTGGGAACTGCAGGTTTGATCAGTTTCATATTAAAATTTGAAACAAATCAATTTCATTCCCATGCCTCATGGTGTATGTTTATTCCATGATTCAGATCAAGCTGTCCAGCTGCCCTATTTCTTCTGTAACTTTGAGTGCTCACTGGGAGATTGATTGTTGGTTTATTATACTTCTTTTATTAAAATAATATACTTAATTATTTTACTTAATTATTAAAATGATTGACAAATTGCAGAGTCTTTTAGATCTCTAAAACTCATGGCTAGAAACTAATCATAATAGTTATATAACCTATGCAAAAATACTGGCATGCTAAGCATCTGAAATTTCTGTTTTAAAACAAGCGGTCCTCCAGATCCTAAAACTAATCTGAAGCAGTGACGGTTAAGTAATAGCTCATGTGCTGTACCCTACAATGAAGCAATTTCAGCTTGTCACTGTTGGAGCTTCCAAGCTAATCCAATTCTGGCACACAGTTGACCCATAATTTCAGTTTTTTATTGCAAGCAAAACATTTATTTTTATTTATTCATCATATTTATATAGCTGCCCATCTCACAAAATGTGACTGGGGGGCGTACAATAAAAAAAACCCAACCATAAAATAAGCAATATTAAAAACCATTCTACAATTAAAAACATCCATTTAAATATTAACATCTCTCATTTACTTTGCATATGAAGATATTAACATCTCTCGTTTGCTTTGCATATGAAGCCTTGGCCTCACCAAATAGTGGCACTGTGGGCATCGTAACCATGAAATTGACAAATGGCACAAAGTCATTGTGTAGCAATGCATATTTTTGGTCTCCAATGCATTGATCGAGACCTAGTCAAGTCCTTGTAAAATCACTTTCATGAAGTGTAGGTAGCAGTATATTCTGAATGAATTCTAGAAAGGCCTTTTCTTGATCTGAATAATTAGGCTTGGACAGAATGCATGTAGAGAGCACCAGGAGAATGATGGAAAGTTTATGCGAGAGCATTATGCACCATTTGACTAGATGTGCCATACTGTGCTTTTTGCCACACTAGAACGATCTTTGTGGAATTTTGCATAAAGCATGCATATGCCTTCTTTTAAGTCATAAACTGACTTTACATTTATAAACATAAAATAATTAAACTGACTATTACAGTATTGTTGTTTAGGCTTCTCTAACCTGGTATCCTTCAGATATGCTTCAGCTGACATTCTTTATGGCCAAGCTAGCTGGAGACCAATGGAATTCACTCCAACAGACCTGAAAGATACCAGGTTGGGGAAATCCTTTCCTTCTTAATGATCACAGTGCTCCAAGTTCTCAACAGCAGTCTTTTCTAAATTGTTGTTTTTCTTGAACTTGAGATACAAAGGCCTCATATGGAATCACCTTATGCAAGTAACTTCTTCTACCTGATTAGTCTTGGAAAATTGATCTTTCACTTTGACTACCATTCCATTCATTGGATTTAAAACATCATTGTTTCATTTTCTCTTTGAAATAGGAGTGAAGACCCCATCAGTTTGAACCAGTGGCATGAGCTCAAAGTGTCACGCACAGCAAAAAATGGCATTTTGCAGATTGATCAGCAAACCCCAGTAGAAGGAATGGCGGAGGTAAGAAAAGATCTTATTTATATATTCACAAGTACAGAGACTTATTTAATTTTGAAGTTTGGATTTTTCGGATTTAGACTGTTTGCTCTGTATGTTTTCTAATTTGGTATCCAAAAATAAAAGAAGTACTTCAATAGATTTTTAATGAAATACTCTGCTGTGGCAAAATAGGGCCAGTGACTTTTTAAAAATACTTTAAAATTATTTTAGTAGTAATTTTATTAAAGATTATAATTACAACAATAAAAACTAATACAAACTGAGAAAATATAAGAATAAAATAAAGAGTAGGAAGTGCAAAAAAGAAAAAAAAGGGAAAAATAGAAAGAGAAACAGAAGAGAAAGAAAAAATAAGAATATAGTAAAGACAAAGAAAAGAAATATATAAAGAAGTGACTTCCCACCTTCATCACAATAAGTATAAACAATTTTAGTAACTTATCACCTTCTCTTAAAATATAACAAATGATCTCTTCTTCCTATATTCCATCTCTTATCTATAAACAAATCCATAAAGCATTGTTGTTTCAGTCCTGATACCAGCGAAGTCCATTAAGGTTTACCAGGGATAACAACATGTCTATTTTAACTTTGATCAAATAAACCAACTTTATATTCCTTTTACTTCTAATAATCTTTACTCCATTCAAATAATGTCCTAGAACTTGATTCCTTTTCATTTTTTCTTTGTTCCTTCTCACAAAATTCTTCAAAACTTTAACAAGTCTCTTTTGTAAATCCAATATAGGAAATCCAATATAGGAAAATTATCCAGGTAACTTCTTGGTTTGTTGTCTGTTAATTAAATCCCTTTTAATTATTAAGATATCAACCCGTTTCTTTTGTATGTCCAGTGTAAAATCTTTTTCTATGTCATTCTTGCAGAAATCCACTTCCCATTCAGTCTCGATCTTGTCAGGTTGAATTTGCCCCTCTTCCATAACATCTTTTAGAGACAGTCTATCTATAGAGGCAGACACTTTTAAAATTAACTTCTGGATCCATTGTTCAAAAATATTCTTCAGTATATCCAATGTTAAAATATTTTGCCTCATTCTGTAAATTGTAAGTCAAGTTTAAGTGTTCTTCTCCTTTAATTGAAATCCTTAGTTCCTTCCTGTGTCCAATTTTTAAAATCTTAAGTTATTTTTTTGAAAAAGTTCAAAAGCATTTTTCCATAGAAGGGATTTTTTATAATTAATTCCAAAATCTTATTTCAAATTTATCTGGACTTTTAGTCCATTTGTAACTTGCTAAAATCAAAGTTTTAATCACACTTTTGCTGTTTATTCCCCTCCCCCAAAATTTTTAAGTTCCTAAACTTGTAGTTAAAACGTCTTTCACTAAGGATGAAAGGAAACTCACCCAGTGCTGTAAAACTTGTCAGTCCAAAGGTTCCTAATAGCTGAAGAGCAGTTAATAAGCAATTTCTAAAAGTGATTAGAAAAGGAAGTATGCAAACTTAGTATCCTTTCAAAGGCACCGACTGCAGTTTGAACCAGTTTGGTCTAGTGGTGAAGGCGCCAGGCTAGAAAGCAGGAGACTGTGAGTTCTAGTGTGCCGCCTTAGGCATAAAAGCCGGCTGGGTGACTTTGGGCCAGTCACTCTCTTTCAGCCCAACTCACCTCACAGGGTTATTATTGTGGGGAAAATAGGAGGAGGAAGGAGTATTAGGTATGTCACCGCCTTGAGTTATTTATAAAAATAATAAAGGTGGGATAAAAATACTAAAAATAAATTAAAAATAAAGGTGGTTATTCCCTCATGTCCCAGAGCTCTAAACCACCAGAGACCACTGTCTTGCAGTCTCCTTGCAAGGAGTAGCTGTCTGGAGCACTTGTGGGTGATCTCAAATCCTCTCCTTGTCTGGAGAGGAATTATCGAAGAGCTGGTCTACTCACCAGCTCTTCATTCATTTCACAGAGCCGTCCTCAGTCCGCCATTTCTTCCCCAGAAACCCCCTTATTTTTTTAAAAAAAAAACTTTTTAAAAACTTTTTAATTTTTTTAAAAAATACTTTTTTGTCATATTCTGTTGAAGACTCAAGATACAGTTTTATCTGTATTAATCAGCACATGCCCATACATACCGCAGTTCAGACTTTTTGTACTAAAATCTGCATCCAAAAGATGTTGAGAACTCGTCTGGTGAATCAGAATGAAGCCCTTACCAAAGCACTTCTGGTGTCAACCCCAAACATTTTGCTGTATGAAATGGACATCATATCTCTTCCCTTATCCACTGAGACAGACAGTATAAAAGGGTGGGTTGTACCATTCAAATCCCCATTTCTGATTTCATCTGCCTCCCTTATGGTGTCATTTGGATGAGCTCGCTTCATCCTGCTGCATGACATAACATGTTCCTCTAGCTTCACCTTCCCTTATGCATATGATTTAATGAATCATTTCTTGGTTTGGTGAAACCATAATTTGATAGCAAACTAGGAGCAAGCTTGATTCCAATTCTCCAAAACCTGGAAGATAAACTGATTGCAGCCAGTGGGAGATCATCTGTTCTGTACACAGAAGGTTCCTGCCAGTTAATATAAACCAGGAATGTGCAACGTTGTGGCCATGAGGGCTTCACCTTGCTTTGCATGGCACGTTGAGGGCCACATTCAAAAAGTGGGTGGGGCCCAGGCTGGCTTTGGGAGAGTGTTTCAGGAGTGTTAAAAAGTGAAATGAGTGCTTAGTGTGCAAAAAAGGGCTCCAATGTTGTTTTGTTCAAGTGTACTCGTATATAGAATACAGAACTCATAGAGCTGAATGGACCAGTCTGATGTAGGATAAGCCAGCTTTCTATGCTTGTGAGCAATCATACATGGTAAACATTTATTATTTTGTGTCAGGGAAAGCCAGACATGTGCCTTCAGTGTCACATTTTCATTTTGTGTTTTTAGTACTTCAGTATTCTAGAAGCAACCACTATCTACTGTATAGTTAGAGGTATAAAATGCCGCTTGGATTACTTCTCCTGCATTTATTTTTACGTTTGTTCATTTATTTATTTATTGGCAGGGAGCTTTCACACAGATTAAATGTAATCCTGAGATCTTCATAGGTGGAGTACCAAGTTACGATGATGTGAAAAAGAACTCCGGTGTTCTGAAACCATTCTCTGGAAGCATTCAGAAGGTACCTGCATTTCAAAACAATGTATTTGCTCTTGGCCATTTACAATTTTAGGGTTAGAATTAGATCCAGGCCTGTTAGATTCTATTGCTTTTTAGAGGTCTCTTATGAGATCCAGATCTCATAATTAGTAAGCAGAAATCTGGATGGACTTTTTACATGGAATTGCATGGAATTCAGAACTCGGCATGCCCAAGATGTACTCATTTTAAGGGTGAAAAGAATGTAGGAGGTGTCTGGCCGTGCTCTGAGCATCTTCCATTTTTAATTCATTTTTGCTATAGCTCAGTCTGCAGCCAGAGCTTCTGATAAATCCAAAGCCTACTGACTCAGGCATACAGCCGAGAAGAGAGGAAGGAGGGGCATTACTTTTTTTAACTCTCCCCCAACCCTCTGAATCATTTGGTTTTCTTTTACACAGTCCTGAAGCTAGAGGGAGGAAATTGATTAGGTCCTGCTCCAGGGCTAGCATAGATCAGTCACCAGTTTGGGGGTGACAGGGTCCATGACTTCTTGATGTCAGAAAAGAACCACCATAGAAGCTTCTTTAGTGGTTGAGGGAACAGCCAAACAATCCTGCAGCCTTTGGGACACCTTTTAGGAACATATGATTGCAGCCTGAAGATTCTTAATTCATTCTTTCAGGGTACCAAAGGCCAATTCATTTAACAATGATAGTCTGACCAACTATAAAGGCTGGAAGAGGCAAACTGTATAGGCGGCTGCAATACTCCCTTTTAAATGCACCCTTCCCTTGAAATGAGGAATTAAATAAATTTTGGGTCAGGAAGATTCTGTTTTGAAATCAGCTTCCACAGGTTCTTTTACATCTCCGGTTTAGCCTGCAAGAACTCTTGCAAACCTCTGACCTGCTTAAATTCTTCTGCAGCTCAGGGATCAAATATATAAAGCTGACTCCATGTTTTTGTTTTTAAAACATTGGAATTAAGTAAGGTTTTTTGGTTACTTAGCTCAAAAGAACTCATCCATGTTACATCCTTGTCTCCAAACCCTTGAGGATAAACAGTGGAATCCTTTGGAAGACTGTTGTCAGGCAACATATTGATGAAAGTAAACAGATGTTAGACTGACCTCTCCAAATACTCTTTTCCTCTTCTAGTTTTGGTTGACCAAAAAAAAAAAAAAAAAAGCCTCTTTAAGATTAACTTAATGAGTAATAAATAAAGTAATAAAACAGGAACTTAAAATAGAAAACTTTTGAAGCTTCTTTCTTATCTCTTAAACAAAGATAGTTCTGAATGACCGGACGATAGACATGAAGCAGGATTTCACAGCTGGGATCAACTTAGGGAATGCGGTCCATCCCTGTGTGAGCGCCCCCTGTGACAACGGGGGTTCCTGCGTGCCCAAGAAAGATGGGTATGAATGTGATTGCCCTTTGGGTTTTGAAGGGCAAAACTGCCAGAAAGGTAATATAGTGCTGTAATCATTGCAATTCCATGTATATATACTCATTCTGAGAATAACATTACTTCCAAAATCTTACATAAAATATCAGTCATGCTATTCTTTTTTTGCTGTTTAATTTTGCTGTTAATATGTTTAACACATATGCTTTGTGTTACAAAAGACAAAGAACCACAGAAGAGGCATAGAAGGGGTTAATAACTAGTGATAGACGTAAGTTTCACAGATTAATTCCTCTTAAAGCTATTGCATCATGAGATAAGTTAATAAATCAATGCAATCCATTGCCTTTTTGACCAATGGCATTTGGGCATTAAGAAAAGGGAAATATGTTCCTGACTATCTACCAGAGTTACCTTGAGAAACTTTATCTTTGCAAATAAATCTTATGAGAATTCATTACTTTGATTTTTACCAAGCTGAATGCCTGGTCCACCATCTTCTGCAGCAACAGAGGCAGATATGGGTTAGAACTGTAACAAGGTAATCAAGTAATTTCTTCTATCTATGCTTGATTTTGCACAGATAGATTTGATTTGTTAGCTTGTTCAGGAGATTGCAATTGACAATTCTCAAAAACAAATCCAGAATCTAAAAGATCCCTGTTTTTTATTGCTGCTGAGTTTGTATTGTGCATCCCCAAATTTATCACGGGGCTAGAATGCCACCCAGAATGTTGTTTCTTTTCCGAATTTTGCACCCACCATAACTACTGTTGTACAGTCAGGTCCAGAAATATTGGGACATCGACACAATTCTAACATCTTTGGCTCTGTACACCACCACAATGG